CTATCAGTGTAGTTATCGAAAAAATGTAACCGAGTTAAGTTACAGTAACAGATGGAGCGAAAGTAACGAAGTTAAGTTAGAGTCACTAAAAAAGAATAACCGTAACTTCGTTACAAATAACGAGTTACTTCCCAACCCTGGTAAAAACACACCTTTATTAGACGGCCCCGCTGTAATGATTGCAATTTTACATGTAACTTTTGTACAGTGTAGAGAAAAAGGATTAACGATCGAGCCGCAGCGAACGTAAAGCCCGTATCAGACTACGGATTGAGATTGGGATTAGACTGAAATTTGACCAATCACAGTGACGTTTGCTAATCTCAAGTTTAGTGACTTTTACTCTTATTGGTCAAATTTCAATCTAATCTCAATCTCACAACCGTAGTCTGACACGGGCTTAAGCACTGTCGAAATATTCAGGACGGTCTTCGAAGGTCGCGAAAGAGGCCTCGGGGGGGGGGGGGGAGGGTGTCGCGGCAGCGGAAGCCGCTCGCGGACGCCGACGGCGAGAGCGCGGAGGGACAACGTGCTCGCGCGACCCGGGGGCACTCCGGACGCGAGTCCTGCGAGAGGAGCGAGCGGACGCGCCGATGTCGCGCCGCCGGGCATTAGCGCGCATGTGCGCGGATTACACTTGACGGGCTCAAAAAATCAATGACCCCGCCGGCGCGCGCTCTCGCCGCGATCTCCCGCGAAATAGGGTCCGTCGCCGCTAGCTTGCCTTGCCGCGCGCGGTAACGGCGCGGCGACCCGCCGCCGTCGACGACGGCCCTCGGGCGCTCGGCCGCGCGCGCGAGGGATCGGCGCCGCGACGCGCACCGCGTCGAGACGGCGTCGCGCGCCCGACGTCGCGCATCGCCGAGCGCCCCGCGCGCGGGGCGGGGCGGGGCGGAGGGGGGGCAGGGAGGGGAAAGCGCGAGAGAAGGCGAGAGAGAGGAGAAGAAAATGGCCGGCGCGGCGAGGGTGCAGCTCGGTGCGGTGGCGCTAGTGTAAGACGGCCGAATAGCGGTACGCGGCGGAACCAGCCGGGCAACCTCCGTCGCTCGGCGCTGCCGACTCGCCGCTCAGTTCGTGTCCTCACGCAGCGCACGACGGTCGCGGCCCGCGTCGGCGTCGTCCTTTACCGTTCGCGCGTCTCGCGGAGTAAGAAACTGACCAAACAAAAACACGAGAACCCGAAGAAAGGGAGAAACGAGGCAACACCGTGAGGGCGAAAGAAAGCGGAGACGCAGGGGAGTAGAGGCCGAACGGACCGCGTCGTCGCCGCGAGGAGGAGCAAAAAAACACCGCGGCGGTGCTCAAACTCGAATAAACAAAACGTCCTCTCTCTCTCCCTCCGTGTTTCTCTCTCTCTCTCTGTTGCTCGCACGTCGGAATTTCGTCGGGGTCATAAGAAACGGAGTACGAGGGGCGCTCGGAGGGTGTCCCGTGCGTGTCGCGGCCGGTCGACTCCGGCAGTGGAGAAGAGTCGCCCAGGCAGTGTGAAAGTGGTGATAATCCCAAGTGCGCGTCTCTACGAGCGTCGTCGTCGTGTCGTCGTCGTCCGGCGGGGACGCGCGGAGAGACCCCCGTATCCTCGGGTGAATTCCGTACGGGCGATCGTACGTTAGAGCGCGGCGCGGCGATTCGCGGACCCTCGCGTCGGTACGAGGTGGCGCGCGAGGGAGAGGGCGAGAGGGGGAGGTGGGCGAGCGCGAGCGAGAGAGAGGTGAGGAGCGCGTACGCGCTCCCCCTCCCCGTCGCGTCGCGCCGCGCCGCTCCGCGCCGCGCGGTGCACCGCGCGCGCCGTCCGTCCACCTTTCGCGTTGCCGCGAGTGCACGGGATAAAATGGCGCTTGCTTTCGTCCGTGCACCTCTATCGACCGTGACGAACTGCACGGCGGAATCGCGTCGGCATCGCTCGCCGCGGCCCTTCTGAACGGAGCCAAGCGAGACGCGTCTACGCGGCGCGCGGCCGCCGTCCGTTTTTCCCCCGACCGTCGACACGCTCGGCCGTCGTCGACGTCGTCCTCGTCGTGCGCGCCGGGATACCGTGTGTGTGTGAGAGCAAGTGTACGGAGGTGCCCGTGGCCGCGGCGCGATCACCGGAGCGGCTGTCCGCGGAGCGGAGCGAATCCGGAGCGAGCGCCAGGTGAGTCCAGAGTCGTGGTCTGTCCGTAACGTCGCGATATTTGCGACCTCGGTGCCCGGGAGGGACGGGATTCCCGACGGGACGTCGGGAGAAGTCGCCCGCGGCCCCGCGGCGCTAATTCGCGGCGCGTATCGGGAGCGAGCGTCGCGATAACCCGCGGCGTTAATCTGCGGACGCTCGCTCTCTCTGTCCCCCCCGCCCCGCGGTAGGCCCGTGTCGCGCGGACAGATATCGCGGAGGCAGAGCATCTCGCGCTGGAGCCTGCGTCTCGGGCGCGCGCGGCCCGTTACGCGCGGGATCGCGGGACAACCCCGCGGACGCTCCGCGGGGACTCGCGTAACGGCGAGGTATTAACGATCGGTATCGCGGTGAAAGGCATTAATCCGCCTCTCTCGCTCGCTCGCTCGCTCGGGCCGTCCCCGCGGATTCCGATTCCCAGCGCCTTTCCTCGCGTCGCGCGGGCACTCGCGCGTTTATTGTCCCGCGAAATTGCGAAGGAGCGGGACGAAAAACGCGCTTGCCCCCGCGAGAGCGCACGAGCGAGCGAGCGAGCGAGCGCGCGCGCGTCCGATGAACTTTCTCAATTCTCCTCGAGATTCCCTTCCTATTTTTTCTTCTTCTTCTTCTTCTTCCTCCCTTTTACCGCCGACCGCTGCCAGCCGAAGCTCGGCACGGCGGAGGAGGAAGTGTGCGCGTCGCTCCCGAATTCGTTGTTGCGTTACTCGATGTTGCTCGATAACCGGTAACGTGCCTCGATGTCAGCTTCACTCCATAAACTTTTCATCGGCCGAGCATAGATCGTGCAATATTTATTACGCAGCGACCTAACGTATATCGCGCGGGTCTTCGGACTAGATTCGGAATTATGCCGTTTTTCCTGGAAAACGCAATCGAAATCTAGGAAATAATCGAACGATCCCCGACCGGAGCAATCCGCTCCGAAGATTTCCGCGGCACTACGTGCTGCGGCCGACTTGGTATTCCGTGCTCTCGTGTAATCGCACGTTAAATTTTTAATTATTACGATACGCGTAATCGGCAATGAACGGCGCGCTTAGCGAGCATTGCGATGAGCCGAGTCCGGAATCGGCTTAAACTCGGACGGCTGTGACTCATTGTCAGATATTTCCAGGGGAGGTCACACTGAAATCGAGCATAGCGCGATTAGATAATCACCTGTCCGTTGAATTCTACTGCTCGTCAAACTTGTAGGAGGCCTACGTGGACTCTGGAGACGCGAGGCCCTA